AGAGAACCATGTGCAATTCTTTACAATATGTGAGTTCCCAAGAACCCTCTAATACTTTAAGATTTCAGTGAAAACACTGAATTGCATCCTTCAATATCATTGCTGTTGTTGGCAATTTAGCATATATCAATGGTTACAAAATGCCCTCATATTTAAGGCTGCTTTGCTAAACAGGACTTTATTAAATTTATTATAAGTGGAATTCATGGAACACTCTCTGAAAGTGACATTGACTACATAGTAATCTGTACACATAATCAGTTTATCTGTGTTTTATACATGCATTGCATAGTAATAATTCAGACACTCCTTTAATACCAGACAAAATTTTTTTTTGTCTTTTTCTTGCACCAAGGTAAGGTATTTGCTAGAATCAGGGAGGTTTGACATGCATGTCTATGTGCAGAAATGTAGATTACCCAGAAACTCCATGGTGTTGCTTAAATTTCCATATTCAAATTTCAGTTTCTACAACATATGCATATTTTTTCAATAGGATTCTAATGAACACCAATTCCTCTATAAGATGGAAAGTCATAATTTTAAAATTCCTAAATGGGATCAAAGAGAAACTAATCCTAAACTGAAGAAGATGCAATGATCTTCTTTGAATAGGAAATTCTGCAGCATAACCACCTCCTTCATAAATGAATGAACATCTCACCACAATCCTGATATGTATGTTAACACTCTGCAGGAAGAAACCAGACTGGAATCCAGAATAGGAGGAAGGAAATAAAACTGGGGATAGAATTAAATATAATCAGTTTAGAGAAATAGAAGCACAATGATGACAAATTATACAAACCATGTGCTTCTCCTTATTCACAGTGAGCATAACAAATTACAACTATGTTAATTTGCCTGAATTTTCTCAATATTTTTGATAACTTCATGTAGACTAATAGCTTTCTACAAGATAAATCTGGTATCTGAATTGCATGGTTCTTAGATATATGGTACCATCTAGTCTCTGACTGTACTCTATCAGTTCCACACTTGCAGAAGGCATATGAGACTCACAGATTATGTAAAGAATATGCCTGGGCAGTGAAAAGATACCTTCTTTAGCCATGCTTTTACCAGTAGTTTCTATAATAAAGATTTTAAATTTAAGATCAAGGAGAATACATGTCTGGTACAATTTGACTGGCTGTGTTGTCTTAAAACAGACATGTTTTCATTCATGGACATAAGTGAGGGAAACACTCGGAGAGCATGACGAACAGATGCTCCACTAGGCTTGAGTTAAATGCTTCCTCTTTTCTCCTAATAAACTGGGATCTCTACCTTGGTCAAAGTGCAAATAGAAGAAATTTCTATGTCAGGAATAGTCTATTCCTAATAACTCTTTTCTTCCCCTTTCCTTTAAGTTTATCTTCACTGTTGGCTCCAATTATTACTGCTCTGAGGAAAGGAAAAAAAGTCATCTGAACTAGTTTGTGATACATTGGAATTTGAAAGTACAGTGTACTTTCCTTGAAGTTATATTGAAACGGAACAATATGTCTCTATACCTACACATAAATAAGCTTGCACTTGATTAATCCAGTAA